TAGAAGCCGAGACACAGCCAGACAATTCATCAAGCTCATCATGAAAAACAGCTCTATCGGACGCCCCGTCAAATCTGGTCGGGAACGGTACCTGCTGTACATGGGAGCTTGTAGCTAAATATTGCCACCCTTCAGGGGTGAATTAGAAGCACGACCCTTTTTCTAGCGCATTTTCTGGGGTAGGGATTTCTTTTGGTTTGCGATTTTGGGGCGCGTCTATTTTCCGTTTTGGAGATGTCGCTTCTTTTTGAAGCAATTGTGCAGTATCTTGAAGTTTGAAGTTTGTAGTATTCGGAGCAAAGAAGCTTTATATCAAAAATCATCACTCTGCAGTGAATCAAGAATAGGTACTGCACTTTGGCTCCCTCTTATCGCTCTTTGCAAGTCTGCTACTAGACTCACTTCAAGGGATTGCCGATCTTTTCGCCAGAGACAGGGAAAAGCGGTAAAGTCAGTCCTGTCTGTACACAGCAACATACCTGCCAGTTTCCTTTATCGTTCCACCTGTTTTTGCCCGCTTTCGCCGCTGTTTCTGCTTTGTGTTGCCGCCACGCTGAGAGGCTGCTTGTCCGCGGTCCAGTACAGGACAGTACCGTACCTACCTGCCCTTTTTTCCAGGCTCCACGCCCCAACAAAACGTTTGCCGAGCAAGCATCCAATCCCTTCATATCCACGCATACGCTTGGCTTGGAGGGAACACTTTAAAACTTCAACCCCCCTTGGTCCTCTCAGAACTCTCTTTTCCTTTTCACCTCCCTTTCTTCCCTCTTCCCTTTGGTACTTCGTTCAATCTTCGGCATCTTGACTTATTGACTCTTTTGTCTTTTGTCGGCCGTGTACCTTCTTTCTCACAATGGCGTCCGTTTCGACTTCGGCTCTGCCCAAGCAGAACCCTGCTCTCAGACGCACCGTCACCTCAACTACTGTGACGGATTCTGAGTCTGCCGCAGTCTCTCCTTCGGATTCTCCCCGGCACTCAGCCTCTTCCACCTCGCTTTCGTCCATGTCCGAGGCCGACATTTCCAACTCCAAGACCGAGTACGGTGTCATGCTTGACACCTACGGCAACAAGTTCGAGGTTCCCGACTTCACCATCAAGGACATCTATAACGCCATCCCCAAGCACTGTTTCCAGCGCTCTGCCCTCAAGGGATACGGCTACATCCTTCGCGACATTGTCCTCCTCGGCACCACTTTCAGCATTTGGTACAACTTTGTCACCCCCGAGTACATCCCCTCAACCCCCGTCCGGGCTGGTCTGTGGGCCGTCTACACCATTCTTCAGGGTCTTTTCGCTACCGGTATTTGGGTTATCGCCCACGAGTGCGGTCATGGCGCTTTCTCCGACTCTCGCCTTGTCAACGATGTGACTGGTTGGGTTCTTCACTCTTCCCTCCTCGTCCCCTACTTCAGCTGGCAAATCTCCCACCGAAAGCACCACAAGGCTACCGGCAACATGGAGCGTGACATGGTCTTCGTTCCCCGCACCCGCGAGCAGCAGGCTTCTCGCCTCGGCAAGATGACCCACGAGCTTGCTCATCTCACTGAGGAGACTCCCGCTTTCACTCTGCTCATGCTCGTCCTCCAGCAGCTCGTCGGCTGGCCCAACTACCTCATGACCAACGTTACCGGCCACAACTACCACGAGCGCCAGAAGGAGGGTCGTGGCAAGGGCAAGCACAACGGTCTTGGCGGCGGTGTTAACCACTTCGATCCCCGCAGCCCTCTTTACGAGCACCGGGATGCCAAGCTTATCGTCCTCAGCGATATCGGTATTGCCATCACCGCTACTGCTCTGTACTTCCTCGTCCAGAAGTTCGGCTTCTCCAACATGGCCGTCTGGTACTTCATTCCCTACCTCTGGGTTAACCACTGGCTCGGTAAGCTTCCATTCATTGCAGATTGAAGATTAATACTAACCTTGATAGTTGCCATTACTTTCCTCCAACACACCGACCCTACCCTTCCTCACTACACCAACGAGCAATGGAACTTTGTCCGTGGTGCCGCCGCTACCATTGACCGTGAGATGGGATTCATCGGCCGCCATCTCCTCCACGGTATCATCGAGACCCACGTCCTTCACCACTATGTCAGCAACATCCCCTTCTACAACGCCGATGAGGCTACCGAGGCCATCAAGCCCGTCATGGGCAAGCACTACCGCGCTGATGTTGAGGATGGTCCCCGAGGTTTCATCCGTGCCATGTACAAGAGCGCTCGTATGTGCCAGTGGGTTGAGCCCAGCGCTGAGGCCGAGGGTGCCGGTAAGGGAGTCCTCTTCTTCCGCAACCGCAACCACGTTGGCACCCCGCCTGCTACCATCAAGCCCGTTGCTTAAGCGGCTTCATGGTATCGGATCGGTAATAGAATTTCTGAGAATTGTTTTCTGTCAGCGTTGATTGTTCCAAATTGGTTTCTGGTAAAGGGTTAGGAAAACTCGTTTGTGGGGTGTCTCGCCATGGATATGGTGGAGCAGAGGTGGTGGATGAAAATAATCTCAAAGCAAGCATTGGAGATTGACGAGTTAGATGATAAAGCAAACATAGACGAGACTTGACGAAAAAGAACAAATTACCAAATCTTATCTTGAAGAGCCATAATATTCCGTGATTACTTGAAGTGCTTTGTTTCTGGCGGGTTGTGTATGGTTGATAGTGCATGCCGGATGCTCGGATCTGGCAAACGACTTGAATAGAGGAGAATGCGGGGAAGCTACCACACTGCTGACTGATCAAGTCTGTCGTCGACCTTTCGAGATATTTTCGTATAATCGTATTGGAGCATTGTTGTTGTTTTGAGTTGAGGATTTTGAAAGGTACGTACTTCGTAGTTAAATCTGTCATTGCTGTGTGGTGGTCGGTTAAGGGTTTGAGGGTATTCAGATTTTCAAGTTGCACCACCTTCTGTCCAGCGCTATGGGATAAGTCTGAGATCATTCGCCACAACTTTTGTTTTTCGGTAGAGAAATGTCTTTGAGATGATTGGGATTCTAATGCTCAATTCCATGTTACATTTTTATTGCAAAGTAGCAAATATTCTGGTTTGAGATCATGGATTGTGGAGATCTTAATTACCCTGCAGGGTATGATTTTGATGATGAAGCATGTGAAAAGTGGTTGCCTTTTCCAATGAGACTATGAAGTGCACCTCTCGAATTTTCGCCATAAACCGTCTGCTTGTATTTTTTCTTATCCAATAGAATCCTGTGTGGAACAGGTTAAACCTCAGAAGGGTTTTGGATTTGATATCAGACAGTCGTCAAAAGAACAACGGCTTAAAAGATTGTGGTTTCATCAACGAATCTGTGCCCACATACCCATAGCATGCCAGAAATTGATGATGCCAGTGAGTCCCTAGTTTATCGACGAGGTCTCTTTGGATATCATATCGAGAATTTCGAATTTGCGATGGTCAATATACACCAGAGCCAATAAAGAGACAAGACTTATATCCATCCAAATGTAGGTGTGATAAAACGGACCTCAGCCCTTCAAATGACTGTCACGTAACGAATTACACATCTTCCTTGCAGGCTGGAGAGCTAATAAGAGGAAATGCGAAATGAACAGATAACCGTTTGAGATACATCGATTGTAAATTTTGTGAGAGAAGCAGGCTACTTTCCCCAGTCCACTGATTCTCTTTCTAGTCGAGGTCATTAGATATCCATCCCTGCAATATAAAGAGGGTGATTATATTGCACCTTTTCCAGTATAAAATGCACATCAAGCTATTGCTAACACCTTGGCTGGTCGGACCCTATAGCTACTACATAACTTACTGCAATGAATATGGAAAAATAGACATATATAGGATATACAACATTTACAATATTTTTGATACAATCTTAGGACAAGATTTCATAATTTCATAGAAAACGAAAATAAATTATTATAATTTATATAATTTAATATTGATGGAGAGCGTATGCTACGAGTTTGGTTTACCTTGATAATGGTCTTGATCCTGTACCTACGACGCCTGCATTTAATTTATCATGACATGAACTAAGAAACATATCACCATCAGTTTCATTATTGAAGTGCGATAAATAGAAATTGTGAATTGTGTAGCATAAAGGGTCGACTAGGACTTTCCTTCTTTAATAAAACAATATGAGTACCTTAACAGGTTCTCGAATTACAACAAGATCTCAGCCATGCGTGCACTGATTGCTTCTGGGCTCCCTGTGTACAAGACCCTGATGCTGACTCTGTTATCCTTGCCTTAGTCTCTATTTAACTATGTTGAGGTAAATAAGTTTTTCCTGGGAATAGGGAAAGAGTTTTTGGGAAAGCCATATCTCGATAAAAGACAGAGTATCTGCTGAAGTACGGTTGAAAGAAAGATGAGAGAAGTACGGTTCTAGTTATAAGAATCTCAAACTCCTGGATGTATTCAGATAGATTGGCAGAGGCAAAATGGTTTCTTATGTGAAGGAAGGAAGAGAAGCGTTGAGGTAGATGTGAGGAGGAAGAAGGAACATTGAGGAAGTTTCTTGTGGTTTGTGCCCCGATTCCAGTGTACTGTATGTGTATCCGTGCCTAGATTGCCAAAATGAGCCAGGTATTTGGTTAGATTGATGCTAATGTTTGAATTCACACGTCGAGGGATGATTGAATCCCTCCTAGAAGTATTTTCTGTATACTGTACAGGCTGTTGAAGGAACCCATAGAGGGTCGGTGGAGCTCTATTAAGACGATGGGATTTCTTCAATGTCTATGTTCTGTAGTTTTTATTAGTGCTTGGGGTCAAGCGATATTACTGGTTTACAAGTGGTTCCCACAGTTCTGGGAATGTTGAACAGTTATACTTGAGGACTTAGCTGCCACGATAGCATCGATTCTCAAGCAGGCAGCTTTGTAACGTACTTTACATGTCAGAGACTTGTCATGATTCATAGAAGCATCCTAGTTTGTTTAGTTGATTTGCTAGGGTGGAGATGTTCGGCTCTAGGGAACATAGAGCACAATATACTCGTCATGTAGCATCAAACGTCCGGTGTGGTGTACCGGTTATCATTTCGCGTTTTCATTGATTCACAAGTGCCGCGAAGAACGGGGTTCGACTCCCCGCACCGGAGTTTACTTTTGCACTTGTAGGCGACTTCTTTTTGCTCCAATATCTAACTCCTCGTATTGTGCTGTATTCTCAATGTTCAACTCGAATTCCGATGTTGGGGGTGCGGCCTGCATCGGTCGGGCCGCTGTGGGTCCTCGCGTATCACAGCACTTTAATTGGATAAGAGACCAACATCCCGCGGGATGTCGTTGCCAGTTCCTTCCTCTGTCTTTAGGTTTCCCAAATGCTATATTCCTAAATCTCTGGCTATTCTCTGTTACCAAAAGAGGACGCATGTGAAATGAATTCAGGACCTGTTGAACTCCATTCATCATGCGTAGCAGTTGATTCCTCATTGGGTACAGAGTCCTGTGGGGAACCTTTCACTTTCCCTAGCTACCTTTAAGGAATGTGATTGTGTTGTAACCAATCACAACAGCAGATAGACGAGTCGTTCAACATTCCGTGGTACCGGATCACCAGATAAAAAGAGTTGGACGTTTGATACTGTTCCAAAGGGCCGGCTCTCGGTGCGGATCGTCAGTTCCCGGAGGTTTGGACATGCAAGATTGCCGGGACTGCACATCACCACAACTGCCTGCGTATCACCCGAGATGATTCACTAGATGCTATATTTGATCAAGTAGATATAGTTTAAGATGTGATATGCTACGAATGAGAGAGCCGCTTCACCTCATATCTCCCTAAGTAGGTCTGGCGTTTTTGTGGACATGATCTGATGTTGATGATCTCGAATCTGGGTATGAGACATGACGTTGGAAGCGTTCATTGTGCCTTGGTTACTCCTGAGGCTCTGCGAGCTAGTCCCATGGCAGTAATGGCGTCAAAGGGGAAGCGACCAGTCACAAAAATAGTCGGGAATCACATTTCCGGAGTTCATGAGTATCGTGCATCGTTTCTCATCGTCATGGCAATGTATGAGCGTACCTATTGCCAAGTTTGTCTATCACCGTTGAGAATGTCTTATAAGTTACAAGGCACGGATCGACCACGTCTATTCCCAAAAACGGTCGTTCGTATATCGCATTTTGTTGGTCGATTTAAGTTTAAGACTGCAACTAAGGAGACGAACAAGGCGATGGCTTGATTAAGCGAGGCTTTCCGTATCGAATATGCGAAAACCCCTGGTGCCAAGACAAAGCCACCGGGAACAAGATCCGGAAGAGGTGTCAAACTAAAAATACAATGACATCAGATCAAAACTAGGAGATTGAGTGGGAAACGCTCCTAGTTAATCTGCTTACAGGCTAGTCTTGACGGTCATGGTCATAGCTTGGAGTGATAGCGGTTGTATTAAGTTCTAAATACGATACTAATGTCACTATGTGTGGAGAGAAAATCAAAAATCACTAATAGTTTGATGTCCTCGCCACAAGAACGGTATGGTTTCCAACTTCGGGCGTGCGCCTCGTCATGGGTCACAGGATGCCCTTTTACCTTATGAACAAGACGATGAACAATGAATGACAGCAAGTTATCCGAAGCACTGGGGTTTGACCAACATTCATGGGCTTAGTTCAAGAATGCAGAACAAACTGACCTCCAGCCGTTGATGTAGTTCCAAACTTAGAAATATGAGAAGTTGTCACTCGCCATATCTCATAAAGATCTCCATCCGTTTGATTGGATCGTGAAGTGGAAATCTGGAGATAACCTCAAAGATCGCCTTGATATAGTCAATTATTGATAACCAATCACTTTCATTCTGCATGACATTTAACAGGCAGGCGTTATGGACCAAAATATCCTTTTTCGCTGTCATACCCACAGCATGAACACCGGAAGGGAAGGCGCATGTGACTCAAACAACACATGGCTTTGGATTCACCAAGGGACCTTTGATACTCATACACTTTATAATTTACACTAAACACGTCTGATTTCGCCTTGGCTGATATGTATTTTATGGTTATCCCCTCAAACCAAGCCGGGCCGCAATGATAACTCCACAGCCGCGTTGGTTTGGGCTTTAGCCTACCCGTTTTGCCGCCGAAAACAGCCTATTACTGACAGCAGATGATGGGTATTGAGGCGTCTACTAGGCCCATGCCTTATCACTTGTTACCAGCTACCAAGGCATTCCCACAACATGACGATCGCCAGTCGCTCAGCTGGTAGAGATCTTCAGCTGCTCACCCCGGATCATCATGTCGTCAGGCACGCTGGGAAGGCCCATCATCTTCTTGATTGGTGGGTTGGTTTTCAACCGGGCACTAAGAGATGATATGAACTCTATCTCGATGTAAGTGAGACAGTGGAGGGTCTCAGAGTTCACCCCAGACCCGGAAGCACGACGGATCCGAAATCTACTATGGAAAACCGACAACGCATGAGGCTATACCCAAATCTTGTGAGAGAGAAGCTGGCGCCATGAGAGCACCCTGAACAAATTTGTTCGAACCGGTAGGTTAAACCTTCCTGTACTGGTTGTTGCCGCTGATGACATTGGCGGTTATGGAGATGCCACAAACTGTTGGCAGGCTCTAGTCTTTAGACGTCTGGTCATGAACCGCTGCAGCTTGAAGCTTAGAAAATGTTAAAGCAGGGTCCACATGACGACATGTCTATCAGGCTGGATAGGCACTCCTGGTGAGGGAAAGGGTCGAGTGCCACTCATATTATTGCTGTACCAAACCCAAAGTCCAGGAGGTATATAAGTCGAGGATCGTCTCCTCTACCTTGACCATCTCCAGGTCGATCAATACCAAATTCAACAACAAACACACCATCAATCATGGCTCTTAATATGAGCTGGCGAGTCTTGATGGCCACACTTCTGGCCATCTCGCCTACTACGACACTGGCTCTCCCCTGTGATGGCCAACCTGACTACCAGAAAACCGGCATGCTCTATAGTGGAGGCTGTCCTCTTCCCGGGGTATGTGCTTGGGGAAGTTGCACTAGAGTCACTATTGGACTCGACCCCAAACAATGTGGCAAGCGTGGTAACTCATGCAAGCCTGGAGAACTCTGCGTTGCTGGTGGATGTTTACCCCTGGACCTACTATCTGACGATTCGGATACTAAGAACTGCACAACTTCATGCCAGCCTGGTCAGTGGTGTAATGGAGGACAATGTGCTCCAATCCAGGTTACAGCAAACTCTCGTCGCTGTGGTGCCGATAACAAAGAGTGTCCTGCTGGATCTCTTTGCGTCAATGGCAACTGCCAAAATATCAACATCGGCTCAGATCCAGCATCCTGCGGATCCTCAAATACAACCTGCAGTTCCGGCAACTGGTGTCTCGAAGGTTCTTGTGTCCCCTTTCTCCTTGGAACAAATGTCCAGTCCTGCAAAAAGACAAGCGAATGCCCCCTCGGTACTTCTTGTCGTGGCGGGTTCTGTCGTCAAGTGTTCATCTCAACCGACACCTACAACTGTGGTGAAGGAACAAGCCGAAAGAACTGCACTGCTGGCCAACTCTGTGTCTCCGGGCAATGCCAGTCACTCGACATAACCTCCAACGTGGTCCAGACAGAGACTTGCGGCTCATCTGGGCAGAAATGCCGACCTGGATCTTACTGCTCGGGCGACGAATGTGTGCCCATCAACATTTCAATCGATCTTTCTCAATGTGGAAGTGGCTCAGGAGCATGCAAGAACGGTGAAGTGTGTATTTCTGGCCAATGTGTCAACAACCTGGTCCACCGATCCAATACTCCAAGAGTTGCTTGTGGTGCTGGAGCTGGAGGCCCTGGAGCACGTCTGCCTGGAGGGTTAGACAAAGTGGAGGCAATAAATGGAGACGCTGGGAGTTCGTCAAACGGTGATGGATCAAGTGGTGGTGATACCGGCGATGGACAGGATGACAATGGCTCAGGAGAGGGAGGAGACTCATCTGATGGGAATCTCCTTGGATCGGAGTCCGATTCAGACAACAGCGGCCAAGACGGAGATGACCAGTCAGGTCAAGATGGTTCCGATGACAGCAGCGCTGGTGGCTCTCAGGATCAGAGTGGAGAAGATACCGGCACAGGCTCTCCTGCATCAGTTTGTACTCCAGCATGTACTGGAAACTCAGTCTGCATCAACGGGCAGTGCTCAACAGTCGGTGACCCTTCTTCATGTGGAGCATCATCGAACCGTCTCATGCACTTGCTTCGCCGACAAGCTACATCGGCTTGTGAGCCAGGTTTCGCCTGCATCGACAACCAATGCGTTGCTGCTGATGGACCGGTGGACTGTGGTGCGTCTGGAACAAACTGCCCAATCAATTATGCTTGCATCCAGGACTCTTGTGTAGCCCTCGGTGACACAAGCTCTTGTGGAGGTGAGGCTTGCAGCAGTGGCGAGGTTTGCTTGGGCAATGTGTGCACACCAAACAGTGGCTTAGCTGCTTGCAACAACGTCTCTTGTGCTACTGGAGAGACCTGCCAGGATGGAGCTTGTGTCCCTATTGGCGACTCAGGCTCCGGGTCAGGCTCGGGTGGTCCACAGGGAAGTGGTTCTGATGATGCAGCTGATGGTGATTCCTCTTCAGGCGACGGTGCCGATGGAGATGGAGGCCAGAATGACGGCAGCTCTCCTGGAGGGGCCTCTGCTGATGGAGACTCTCCTAATGGAGGCCCCTCAGGCGACGGCTCTTCAGGCGACGGCTCTTCAGGCGACGGCTCTTCAGGCGACGGCTCTTCAGGCGACGGTTCCTCAGATGGTGACCCCCAGAGCGGTAGCACACAAGGCCTGGGTTCAGAAGGAGACGGCTCTGATGATGGTCCCGGTTCTAGTTCTGGCAACGATAACAACGGAGCTTCTGGTGGTGATACTGGTCCCGTTACTGGATCACCTCAAGGAAGCGGATCCGGCTCTGGAGGTGACTCAAATGATAGCGAAGACTCTGGCGACGGCGCCGGGCCAGGATCAGGATCAGGCTCTGGGTCTGACGGCGATGGTTCGGGAGATGGGACAACTCAAGATCCTGGATCAGCAGGATCTGACGATGGCAATGATCCCACTGACGGGTCAGGTGACGGCGATGGCGGCAACGATGGGGATGGTTCAGG